AAAAAAAAAAAAAAAAGAAATGAAGAAACAGATAAAAGATTCAAGACAAAGTGGCAAATACGGAAAACGGACAAAGATGCAACGTATGGACAGTAGGTGTCCCCGAGGAAGACGACCAACTGAGCAGTGGAGCAGACGAACAAGCGTCATTTGAAAACACTTTCCTGAAATTAAACAAAGTAAATAAAAGCTTTAAAACCACATTAAAAAAACACACCACATTCCTGTGAATATCGAGCCCAAATAACATACACCAACATATATCCTAATAAAATTATTGGACTTTAAAGAAAAAAACCCTTTGAATATCTGGGAACAAGAGCAGGAAGCTTACATGAGAAAGAAAATCAGATATCCTCAGACTGTGGCATCACTTTACACCAGAAGAAAAGGGTGAATACACTTAAGATATGCAAAGAAAAGAAACGTGAGACAGGGACTTTATATCCAGCACAATTAGCCTCAAGTGTACCACCTTTATCAACATGCGAGAATTCAGAGACCAACGATGTGCCCCAGGCCCTTCCCGGCACTCCAGAGAGTGAGCTTCTGCCACCCAAAGTTACCAGAGACATTGATCAAAGGATTGAAGGGTCTGCAGGGAGCATTCAGCACTGAAGTGAGGGTGAAAAGGGAGAGCGTGCAGGTAATAGTACACTCTCAGATAATACACTTAGACAATGCACACCTGCTCCCAGGGTGGGGCAGGAGGCGCCTGGTGAGTGCTCATTGACAGTGGCAGGGTCGGAGCCTGTTGTGGGTGCAGCCCAGGGTAAAGTTCATGAGTGATGAGGACACAGTCTAACTGGATCATCCCCAGTGTCCTTGAGATTCCTGGTGTGGAAGAGGTTCAACAGAAAACCCTGGCCATACTGAACTTAAGGATTTTCCTGTGAAGACAAGTATGCGTATCTCCTAGAGCTGTCCTCCAAAGAGGCTCAGAATGATAACATTTGGTAGCCATGAGCACCCCCACACCCAGACTATGGTCTAGGAGCACCATTTCCCACTATACAAAACTAGGCTTCTTGGAGAAATTGCTGGCTCCAAGACTGAGGCAAAGCACACGACGAGCCTGGACTTCTTCCCTATCGAGGATTGTCGAAGA